ACAAGTAAGAATGGTACATATTAAAAAAACTAGCAACAACAAATATTGGCAAGGATGTGACAAAAAAAGGAACTCTCCTACACTGCTGGTGGGAATGCAGACTGGTTCACCCGCTATGGAAAGCAGTACAGAGGTTCCTCAAACTACTAAAAATGGACCTACTATATGACCCAGCAATCCCACTCCTAGGGATCTACTCAAATGACACAAAACAATTAACTCAAAAGGATAATTACATCCCAATGTTTATTGCAGCACTATTTATAATAGAGGAAATCCGGAAACAACCCAAATGACTGATCAAGAATATGTGGTATATATACACAATGGAATACTATTCAGCAATCAAAAATGATAAACTCATGCCATTCACAGCAACATGGATGGACCTAGAAGGCATTATTTCCAATGAAATCAGGAAAAAGGAAAATACCTGATGGTTTCATGTCTAGAGGAATATAGGAGTACCACATAAGGGGTTAAAGGAAAAAATAATTTTAAAAATTAGCAGGCAACTATAAATCAGAGACATCTTCAGGAATGGTAAAAAGAGGGATCATAGCAGAGGAGGTAAAAGCACAGGGGGCTATGGTGATGGTGAATTGGTGGTAGGAATTCTATGGGGACTACACCTGTGAGGGGGAAGCAAACATTGTACAAAAAAAACAATGAAATAATATATATATAAATTATAGAAAAAGAGCAATGAGCTGGTGAACATAAATTTCATATATGGTTTCTATTATGGTCACATACTGACTGTAGCTACGAAACAAGAGCCTTAGTAACCTTTATGTGTGTAAGAGAATGCAGTGAATACTGACGTAAATTTACACCTTCTTACATTTTACTCTTCTCACTCTACTATTCAAGTAAACATTTACTGACAGACTCTATAGTAATTATTTAAGAATTCAATATTGTTTATAGCAAATATTCTTTGTTCATTTACACATCAAATATTGAGGGCTTCCTGTATATAAAATGTCTCACCTTTCTCCCTCACATGGTATCATACCAGACCTTTTACAAGATGAAGGATAGAAAAGACTTCCTTAAATAGCAGCCGGCCATTGGAACAAATGTAAAGAGAAAGAGAATATCTTTTTTTTTAAATTTTTTTATTATAACAGTTTATTTTTACATCATTTTGTACATTTTTTTTCCATCTCAATTGTAATCCCCCGCGGGTTTCCCATCACTAAGTTACCCGTTTGCCATCACCATAATCCCATGCACTTCCCTTCCCACCCCCCCGTTTTTGATCCCATTTCCCACTCCACCCCCACAAAATGTCTCTGGTATATGGCTGTTCATTATTCTTGTTATTTGAAAGCGAATATCTTTTAACAAAATGCTAAGCCAGACACTGAGTAGGTTAAAATCCATCTAGGTTAAAATCTATTGTTTCCAGTACCCATGTTTGGTTTTCTGTCTTCTGAAGAATCTTCTTTAAAAATATCCCAGGCTGATTTTTCAGCCAGAACTCTACCTTTAGTAAATCAACAAATTGGCCAACATGGAGTTATTCCTTTGGCCACACACATGGGCATCGCAAGAAAGGTGGTATCATAGACATCAAGGGGGTGGGCACTGTTCAAGAATGCCCTACAGACATTACCATTGCAAAACTGGAAGCATCTGTAATGTTGCCAGCATGCAGTTGGCATTATTGTAAATGAACAAACCAAGGGCAATATTCTTGCCAAAGAGAATTAAAGCTTGTTTGGGACACAAGCATTATTTTTTATTGAGGTAATACTGGCATATGAGGTAACACTGTATATGACTCAGACATATATGTTCACACCTCTTCAGATGTATGTTACTACATCACACCTACCTCCAGGGCTCCCGTGATCAGTCACTATTTGGAGCCACTAATCCATTACTTTGATGGGCCATCTAGCTGCTAGAATATCCCAGAATATAAATCTGGAAAACATCAATTGTACAAAAATTATTTCCTGATTGTTTACTACATATTTACAATTTATTAATGAATTATTAATGAATAAGCAGGTGTCTCTACAGGCAGATGGAATAAAGCCACTTGTTGTCAGGTGCTGACTGCAACAGCACAGGCTTTAGTAACTGTTAATTCCAGTAATTTCTGCTGATACCTGTTTGAATCATTAGTATCAGATTGCTTATCTTTCATTTAAATGCAAATATCACTTGCAGTTTAGTCTACTTCTGTTTATTATTAACTCATTTCCAGAAACTAGTACGGCACAATAATTTGTTGTCATCCTATTAAATTAGATTTTTAGTTTATTAAATTAGAATCTAAAGCCTCCCTCCATAAAAATGTCTTTCACCAGTGGTATGCTATACTTCAAGAGTTAGTTTTCACAACTTAAACAATTAAAATGTAAGCACAACAATGGAACACAAGATGAAGGTTGTTATTTTGACATTAGGATAAGTGCACTGAGGAGCTGTTTAACACACAACACTTGAAAAAAGAAGTCCTGTCTCCAGAGTGTCACCTGGCAGTATTTATTTTAAAGATATTATTTATTTATGCATACAGAAATGGGTACAGGCCAGAGGTGCAGGGACAGCCAGAGGATTCACCAGAAGCAGAGTGGGTAGCAGAACAGGCCGACTGACAAACTACACTGTTGAGGGGAACAGTGGGCAGGTCAGGAGAGGTCTGCTGCACCATGTGGGTTACCTCCAGGGTGGGGATCGGACTTGCACTGAAGCAGCCACAGCATGGCTTAGCTTCGCAATGCAGCGCTCCAACACACTGAGCTACCAGGGAGGCCCCACCTGGCAGTATTATAAGTGTAAATGTAAAAATGAGCTGGAACACTGAAAATCCCATGTCATATATGAAATGACTGTTTAATTTTTTATAGTCCCAAAATTAAAATACCCAAGAAATGTACCAGAACATACCAAAGGATAAAATTCTCTCACTTTCACAAACACTGGCCCATATACAAATGCTTTACTCTCTGAGCTCTCATGCTTTACTCACAACAGTTTGATCTGCCACTTAAAAATAGGAGCAGTTTGTGTTTTCCAAACTTCGAATGAACTCTGTTTTTACTGTAGAATTCATTTATGATTTCTTAATGAGAAATAGAATTGCCATACAGATGAATAGCTGTACTGCAAAATTAATGCATTTTCTTTATAATTGGAAAACTGAGGAAAAGGTTGCTTGATAGACACAGAACTTTACACAGAGATACTAAGTGAGTGCTAAGGAATTGTTTCAATAGTCCCTTCCACTCTGATATTGTGGGGAAAAAGCAATGTCAAATTAAATTTGATAAATGTCCATTCAATGATAATTTGTCTTTATATAATTCCACATGGAACTCACACCCTCAAACTTCTGTTTCCTGCCTTGTTATAACATCACCTTCAAAACAAGTTTCACGGTATTTCAGATGAAATCTCGATTCTTATTCTTTGGGAGAAAAAAAATATAACAATTAGGACTGCTTCATAGTGTGCAGATTTTGGCGGGAGAGGCCTCTGTGGGATCAAGGTGCTTCTCTTTTACTGCGGACACCTGGCTTCATGATCTCCTTTCTGGGGTAAATGGGAAATCTCATCTTTTCCTGCTGTCAATAATATGCCTTTCATTTTTAAATATTTTTATATTTTAAAAACTTATTTTTAACCTGCATCATTTGATATCTTGATTTTTCATTTGCTATATTTTATTTCCACATAAATTATATTAAGACTAATGCAATTTAAAAGACTACATGTGATTTCATCTAGATGATGTCCTTATAGACTTCAGTGGATATACACTGTGGTAGCTGTCTTGTTCTCATTTTGAAAATTAGTTAATTAACTTTTTTTAAAGATTTATTTATTTATGCATACAGAAATGGGGTACAGGCCAGAAGTGCAGGGGTGGTAAGAGGAGTCACCAGAGACAGAGTGAGAAGCAGAAGAGGCAGATCGATGAAGTACACTGCTGAGGAGAGTAGCAGGCCAGATAGGAGAGGTCTGCCGCACCAAGTGGGTCACCTCCTGGGTGGGGGATTGAACTTGCACTGAAGTGGCTGTGGCCAGCTTGCTGTGCTGTGTTCTAACCCATTGCATCACCAGGGAGGGCCTTAAAAATGAATTTAATAAATATAATTGTTACTGTGCATTCTGCAGCATAGTTTTCTCATATGTAATATATTTCAAGGTCTATGAAGTCAGCTTTCCCTATCACATCACCACTGAAGGTCAAGAATCCATGCTTTAGATTTATTTCTTTTTATAGTACTTTGACCACAGTAGACCAATAATAAGTTTTGAATGAATAAGATAAATAATATAAATGGATGTTATATATATTATTCTGAATCTAGTCCACTAATAGTTAAAAGCCCATAACTTGTTTTTCTTTATTGAGGTTTACATTGGTTTACAACAGTGTGCATAAGTTAGGGAAAGAGGTTCACACCTTGGAGCATGTTACCACCCTGCACCCACCATCCAAGCACCCCATAGTCCTTTACCATAGGCCTCTTCCCCATTTCTTTCCCTCCTCCTCCCCTACAGTAGCCTCAGTTCTACAGCCATATTCTAGTGGAGAAGCCCATAGCTTCATTTTGCCATGACTGCTCACCTGACTGATAGAAGTTCAGTTTTACCAGAGAAGATACTATATAGAAAAACAGTATAGAAAAACAGTACCTGTTAGAAAGAAGACTTTTACTGTCAATAAATAAATACGGCATCTCTACTCTTTAGTCATTCCTCTCCACTGTCAATAATGCCAGCTTGCAAATAAATACCTCTTCTGTTGTCACTTTAACCCATTTCCTTTTTAAGTTTAAGAAATTATCAACAGAAGCATCAGTAGAAGTTTTTAAACTTTAAGAATGCTGCTAAACATACAGAGTTGTCTCAGTATCTAATATTGTTGAACACGTGTATCTTCGGAAATGTATGGAAAAGAAAATTGAATAGGAAATCAATCTTATTAGATTTATAAATGAAATTTTATGCAGTTTTGTTTTATTTTTGTATAGGCAGAAATACTCAGTATCCTGAGTCACAGAAACATCATCCAGTTTTATGGAGTAATTCTTGAACCTCCCAACTATGGTATCGTCACAGGTAGGAACTCATTATTTGACTTCTTTCTTTTCCCACTTACCTCGCTTTGGATTCCTTAATGTGCTAAAATGCTTAATATCAGGTTTAGTCATGAATTGTGTGCTACTGTCAGATGTCACTTTTGTTGCTATAAAGCATTAATAAAACTGATTATATCAATATAATTAAGAATGGTGTTTCCATTTCTACCCATGTTTAATTGTGCTAATTATATCTGCGTAAATGCTATTTAAATGCATTCACAGCTGCAATACCAATATTTAAAGGTGCCGTTTAACTAAAATTTCATTTAATTAGTTGAAATGAGCGATGTTTTTTGTAACTCTTTGACCTTTTACAAATTAAGATTTCTTGAGCTATTCATGTTGTAATTTCTTTGCAAGGCATTTAAATCCCATTAGAGCATTCTTTCTTTAAGATCTCTGACATGAGGACAGTATTTTTCAGGTTTGGTCATCTGGGCTGGTAATGACCTTGATCTAAATCATCACACAATTTGGAGCAGCAGTTTATAACAGGTGGAAATACCCGTTCCAAAAGGGAACATGCAGAAATTTTTGCATATAAAAACACAGAAGGACATATTAAATACTTTATGCTCATACACACTAGCAAGCAGTCTGGGATACATACATTTAATTTACAATTTACAACAAATAATTTTAATCACTTCTTTATTGTGGTAGTTCTTTGATTAAAACCACAATCAAGAAAACCTTACAAGATTAGCCCTGTCTTCTTCTCCTGTAATGCTAAGAATGTGGATTATTTTTATAGAAAATAACCATAAAACGCCCTTAGTAAAGAAGGTGGAATTAGGTAGTTTCTTATAAATTGTCTCATCAATCACTTGCATTAACCATATCCATTAAGCAAAATAAATATGTTTTACAGATAAGAAACTGAAATCCTGAGTAACTTTCTCAAGGTCACTCAGGTAGTGGTAGAAGCAGAGTGGTTAAATTTCTGAGGTTGACTTAAAACAGAAGCTCTTCTTGCATGCAAGCTAGGTCCTGGGAGGTTACATGCACTCTGGTTCAGAAGCACAAAGGGACAAAGGTAACTCTTTTTTTTTTTTTTTTTAATTTATTTTTGCATACAGAACTGGTGTACAGGCCAGAGGCTCAGGGGCGGGGAACAGAACAGGCAGATTGACGAAGTACATTGCTGAGGGGAGCAGCGGGCAGGTCAGGAGAGGTCTGCCACGCCATGTGGTCGCCTCCGGGGCAGGCAGGAATCGAACTCATGCGGAAGTGGCTTTAGATTCTCAGTGCTGTGCTTTAACCCGCTGCGCCACCAGGGAGGGCCCACAACAAAGGTAACCCTTAGTTCCATCTCCATCTCCTGGTAACAGGCATTTTACCATGTTTTGTTTTTTTTTTTTTTTTATGCATACAGAACTGGGGTACAGGCCAGAGGTGCAGGAGCAGTGAGAGGATTCACCAGAGACAGAGTGGGGAGCAGAACAGGCAGATCGACGAAGTACACTGCTGAGGGGAGCAGCGGGCGGGTCAGGAGAGGTCTGCCTGCCATGTGGGTCACTTCCGGGGCAGGGATCGAACTCATGCGGAAGTGGCTTTAGCTTCTTCATGTTGTGCTTTAACCTGCTGAGCCACCAGGGAAGGTCCATTTTACCATGTTTTTACTCTGACATATAGCATCTTTACCTAGGTACCTAAGTGGAGGACATTTTACCCCCAATTAGCTACCTGTGGCTATATGCTTAAAATAGGGTGTGTGGCCATTTTATTTTGAGCCTATGTATTTCTTATTAATTTGAATATCCAAGAATGAGTTATATATGTTTAACATTTTAGGTCCAGATTCTAATTTTAAGTTAAGCCCTATGTTGGACGCAGTTACAATAGCACTCCTTCTTTTCCATTCCATTTTATTGACTTTTTTTACTCTTTATGTTTACTTTACCAATCCAAATACAGTTTTGTGATCTTCATTTTGTGGCTTAAGCTACTTTTATCTGGCAGATGAAAGCGTGAGGCTTTAAAAAAATTAGACTTTCTTGTCTTGTCATTTGAGAGGAAGTTTGTAGCTTAACTAGCTGAGTGAACTATTTAGGAAGTCTTCTAGTTTCTTGAGGTGAAAATGAGGAGTAGAAAAAGTGTTGTGTATCATAATATGAATTACTTTCCCCAAGAGTTTCAGTCCCAGGGAAGATAGGAAACATTCATTCTTATTCAGCATGTTCAGTCCAGGTCTTTTCATCCAAAAGAGGGAAAGAATCCAAGCAGTTGTCTCAGTAACTCTGATTTTATTTAGTTGTCTTCATAAACTACCTTGCCCTCCCTGGTGGTGCAATGGGTTAAGCACAATACAATGAAGCTAGCTGCACTTGCTTCAGCTCAAATTCAGTCCCGAGCCAGGGAGCTGACCCACATGGTGCACCAGACCTCTCCGTTCTTGCCCGCTGCTCCCCTCAGCAGTGCATTTCGGTCAACCCACCTGTTCTGCTTCCCACTCTGTCTCTGGTGAATCCTCTCACCACCCCTGCACCTCTGGCTTGTACCCCAGTTCTGTATGCATAAGTAAATAAATCTTTTTTAAAAATTCTTTTATATTATATCCCTTTCTAGCATTCCTTGCTCATCCCTGTACCTATTCAGTATCTTTGGTTATATCTTTTTAGCTCTATAATAATTACATAGTTATATAATTGATAAACTCTTTTTAGAGCTGTATTTCCCCCATCAAATCAGTAAATAAGCAACTATAACTATAACATTAAATACTTCTTTAAAACAACACAAGTTTCAGATTTGTAAGTTAATAGTAATTGTGTATTTGTAGTTCTTTCATTGACCTATGAGGTTCATTATTAAAGATGCCTCTTAACCAAGTTTTAGTATTTTCAAATATGTTAGTTTGATAAGATTATCTTTGCATCCTAGTGATGCTAATTTCAATTGTTTACAAGTAGCCAACCAAAAAAAAACAAAACAAAAAAAAAACACAAAAAAACCTAAACTTTCCAGTCAGCCTTCTTCATTAGTAGGATCAAGCCAGGTGCGTAGGTCACAGTACTTTGCCAGGTAAGCTAAATTTGGAAGGCTAAATGAGTTGGGTATGATAGCACTTACCTTGAAATGAACACCATTGAGTTAACATGGGAAGGTTAAGAATGAAGGAGAGACAAATAAGCAGACAGGTGTGGATTACCTGGCCTCACTAGAGGCACATCATCTTTCTCAGCTGAGAAAGACCAGCTGAGAACTCTTTGAAGAATCTGAGGGGAAAAAAAAATTTATTGAAATACTGTTTATCTTACATCCTTGTTAGTAAGGGCCTATTTTGAATGGTTTGAATCCATTTAAGTTTGAATTTAATAGAAAAGGTTGTTGCAGCAGGCAGCTGTTGTCGTGTTAGAACTTGAGAGAATGGTTTATCAGAGTGATAAGATTGGTATAAGTATAGAATAGGAATGGGAGGTGTGAGATCTTGTCTTGGTTCTACCAAAGCTGCGTAGATGAGTCACTGATGAGCTGTTTCAGTTTTCTAATCTGAGGATAAGAATAGATTCTATCTGGGGTGTGTGTCAGGTGTATGTGTATTCCTGTGTATGTGTGTTTGCTGAAACTTTTCAACACACACTTACAAAACCTGCTTTTCAAAGAAAATGGACATGGCCAAGAAGTAGCTGCCATTTTATTTCCCTTGGAAGGGAAATCAACATCTATATCCAAGGTACTAAGAGAGTTGACTGAATCACAGATGCCAAAGTCAGAGAGTCAATAATAGATCATCTTTTCTTTGATCTTTAGATACCACTTTATTCTATGTTATTAGTCCCATACTTTTATCTTGTTTCTTCCTCTCAGCTCTTCTCTCCCCCTCCCCCACAAGAGAGGAAGGGAGAGGTCCTTAGATACTAGATCATGTAACTCTTGCATAGCAAATGACACTTGAGAGGAACTCTGCACAAAGGGGACACACCAGGTCCCTGGGTTCAAAAGGAAGATGGCTTAGGATGCCAGAGACCTAGTGAATTACAGCTTTATGCCCTGGGGCCGCTACTACCTCTTAATTTTATTGCCTGTTCCACATTACCTCTTATCACTGGTCTAAGAGATGATACCAAATCTCTGTAATTCCTCAACAGGCCCAAATTCCCATTAAACTCAACCACAGCAAGCATTAATTTTTAAGTACATAATCCCACTCCCTTTGACTTGCTTTTGATTTATTTTAAGCATAGATGCATATAATTTGCATGTTTTGCTATTGTGTTGGCCTTTTCTTATTAGACAGTTAAAAACAGAATTTGTCCTATAACAAATTATAGACATTTGCCCAAATTCATTTGTTCTATTAGTTAGAATCCAAGCTAAGCTTGGTCTTGGTGATAGTACATTATGAAAATATTTCATGGTAATGATGTTTGTTTTAACAATACTGACACTGTGTTTACATTTTCCAAGACAGCTATTGTTGCCAAAACTCAAATAGAAAAAAACATCTTTGAAATCAAAAGGAAATGTTTTCTTAACATAATAGTTAATGATGCTTTATAAAAAAAATAATTTAAATATTTTATATTAAGTTCATAAGCTACTTTCTAGGGAGAAGCTAAGTGGGTTGAAAAACACAAGCAGGTGTGTATATGATGTCTTTAACTTTCAGTGAAGACATAAAAGGGATGAAATAATTGAATGCTTAACAAAATAGTTTGGCTACTGACACTTTTTTTGAACATTTATTTATTTATGCTTACAGAATTGGGGTACAGGACAGTGATGTGGTGGGTGAGAGGATTTGCCAGAGATAGAGTGGGGAACAGAACAGGCTGACTGACAGAGTACATGGCTGAGGGAGCAGCGGGCAAGACAGGAGAGGCCTGCTGCGCCATGAGGGTCAGCTCCCTGGCTGTGGATCAAACTCGTGCTGCAGTGGCTTTGGAGAACATCGTAGCGCGGTGCTTTAACCCGTTGTGCTGCCAGGAAGAGCCCAACTACTCACACTTTTAAGATCTTTCATTTGTATGAAATAATAATAATATTGTCTTTCTTGTAACCTCATATTCATGAAACAATTTCATTTCATAATATATATTCTATATCCCTGTTTTGTTTGTTTAATTAGCAGAATCAGTTTTTTTTTAAATCTAGGCACAGTTTTCAGAGTACATTTATTCTGGAAAAAGACCCTATTGTCCTCTTAATATTCTGCTTCACTTCAGGTACCTGACCACCAGAGGTACAGTGGTTTTTCCTGAATGAAGCAATTCTCTGTATCACCAGCTGGTAGCACACAGTTTAGCACAGTCCTCCTGCAATCCACCTGGAGATAACATCTGTTCCCACAGCTTAAGAGTGAAGGGGGTAGTCACACGACCCTGCCCTCGCCTTTCCTCAAAGGCCAAGTGCAAGTCTAGGTTGCCACCTGTGCTTCTAACCCACCAACTACAAAATCAGTAAACTTAAAACCTGCTGGGTAGAAATTACTCAACCTTAAGAAGAAAAACACTGAAGAAAAATTAACAGAATCTCAGAGACCTAAGGGACAACATTAAGTCTACAAATTAATATAGAATAGCAAATAGAGGCAAGGAGGATAAACGTAGAACACAGAAAAATAGTGATGAGAAAGTGGCTCCTCAAGCTTCCTGAATTTGATCAAATATATTGTTCTACATAATTGAGATCAATGAACTCTAAGTAAGATGAATTCATGAGAACCTTTACTTAGACACACCACTTATCAAACTGTGATAAACACAAAGTAAAATTCTTGAAAACAGCAAGAAAAAATTTCTTACATACAAGAGATCAACCATATGGTTAATAGCTAACTTTTCATCTACAACAGAGACCAAAAAAGCAACAGACATTGAAAGTGCCTGCAGAATTATCTTTTAAAAATTAAAGATAATATTTTTCATCATCCTTCCGTTTTGTACAGTGCCTGCTTTCACCTCAGGTGTAGTCCCCACAAAATTCCTACCAGTTCATCCATGTCAGTCACCATAGTCCCTTGTGTAAGAACACATTTCCTCCTCCATTTTGATCCCTCTCCCTACTGCTCCCCTGCAGAATGTCTCTGATTAATAGTTGCCTGATAATTAAAAATAAAAGATATGCTTACTGCTCATCCGAAAAATAAAACAAAAACATGATCTCTTGCCATTCATGACAACATATAACAATAAATATCTAAAATGTCCCCAAAATGTGAATTTTGCATTTTGTATCCTTTTCTCAATAATAAAAAAATCCTTTTTGGGCCCTCCACGATGGCGCAAAGGGTTAGGATGCAGCACTGCAAGCCAGCCGCCACCGCTTCAGTGTGAGTTCTATCCCCGCCCCAGAGGTGACCACATGGCGTGGCAGACCTCTCCTGACCCACCTGCTGCTCCCCTCAGCAGTGTACTTCATCGATCTACCTGTTCTGCTCCCCAGTCTGTCTCTCGTGAAGCCTCTCACCCCCTGCACCCTCTGGCTTGCACCTCAGTTCTGTATGCAGAAATAAGTAAATCTTTAAAAAAAAATTCTTTTTGAATGCTCTATAACAATATAAACAGCCATTCATGACAACATAGATGGAGCTGGAGGGCACAGTGCTAAACAAAATAAAGCAGGAGAAAGACAGATAACCAGATGGCTTTACTCGTATGTGCAATATAGAGAAACACAACAAAAGAGCAAGCAAAACCAAAACAAACTCTAGACATCTGACTAGAATGGAGGCAACAAGATGGGGTGACACAGGGTACACTGATGGATGGCTGTGGGTGTCTTGGGGTAGATGCTGATGGTGACCTGCATCTGAGGAGGTGCGATCCTGTGCCTTAGAGTCACATACATTGCTGTGAATCAATGTAACCTCAATTTAAAAAAAATAAAATAAATGTGTATATGCACACAAAAATAAGCTTTAGGATCACTTTGTCAATATATACAAAAAGACTGCCAAAAATATGGTATGATGTGTTGAATTTAGAAATCAGTTTTGGAAGTTGGCATCTTCACAATATTGAGTACTCCAAAGATGATGTCCTTCCATTTACTTAGATCTGCTTTGTGTTTCATCTATGTTTAGTAGTTTTTAGTGTATATTTCCCATCTATATTTTAAAATATATTGCTGTATTAAAAATAAAAATAAAGACTTCCTTGGATAAAGAATGAAGGAATTTGTTGACAGCAGTCTTGCTATAAAAGAAATTTGTCAGTTTTTGTAAATACTTGTAAAGGAAATCCTTCAGACTAAGCAAAAATGACAATCCATAGGAAGAAATAAATGACAGTGGAAATGATAATTGTATGGGTTAGATGAAGACTCCACACGTATTTTTGTTGTCATTTTTTTCCTTAAAAATTTAAGATTGTATAAACAATAATTTAAACAACATTATTTTGTTAACTTAAAAAATGTATATCGATATAATATGATTCATAGTAACAGCTTAAAGGATGAGGGATGGTATGAAATTATTGGGGGAAGTTTCTATGACTTTCTGTAATTAAATTAGTATTAATTTGAAGCAGATGGTGCTAAATTAAAATGTATGTTGTAATCCCTTAAGACATCAATGTGTTCACTAAAGAAATAGAATAAAAAGTCAGTGAGAAAATAAAATGATAAAGATATTAGCACAGATCGGGCAGTAAAATAGAGGAAAATCAAAGGGGATGGAAATGTATCAAAACCAAGAGGACAGATATACCTAATTACTGCCTTCCTTTACTTCAAATACCTTCTTCCACCACCATTTAATGTTTCTTAGTTTGATCTAAATGGCTTTTGATTTCATCCTCAACTGAAGTTTTACTATTCATTTGGTTAGCAGTCTTTTTGACACATTTCTTTCTAGAAGAAAGAACTATGAAGCAATTTTTATGTTTTAATGTCTTATGTTAAATTCCTTAATACATTTTTGCAATGAAAATATTTCTGAAATGCAGATTGGTTTTAACTATTTGCTTATCTTCCTTTTAAAAACAGAATATGCTTCTCTGGGCTCCCTCTACGATTATATTAACAGTAACAGAAGTGAAGAGATGGACATGGATCACATTATGACCTGGGCCACTGATGTAGCCAAAGGTAATGCTTCCTGCATTCCTGTAGAGATGGTGGGAGCCTTTCCCCCTCCTTACAAGGTGACTTGTCTGAAAATGTGTTACTCTGTGTCTTTAAATGTTCTTTTTATTTATTTTTTAAAGCAAAAGCAGCAAGGTTTTGCAACTTACTTATAGACTCTTTTAGACTATTGCTTTTCCACTTTTGCATCCTTATTTCTGTTTCTTTCTTTCCCTAAAATCAAATTGCAACAAAATCAGTGGCTCAGGGAAGGCATTTTTACCCCATATTGTGACATTATAATTGACACATTCTGTGGAGAGAGCATAATTCTGCTTTGCTCTACAAGTTTGTTTAGACCAGTTACCAGAAAATGTGATGTAATGTAGGATTAAGGATGTTCATTCTGTTCATGTCAAAAATAGTAACCACTTGCAAAAAATTTTATTTGTCCTGCCATGTAAAAGCAATTCATATTTTATGTTTAATGTAAACTTGGAAATCACCCTTGGAAATGAAAGATTTTGAATACACCAAGTCCCTAGACAAGGTGCCCAGTTCTTTTTCCCTCATAAATTCCTGCACAGACTAATGCTTTCTAAAGCAAATTAAATTCCACTTATTTTTATCTTCTAACTAAATGTTTCTGAGTTTTATTTATAACTGTTGAAGTTGCTTTGGAAACAACTTAACCTAAATGATGAACACTGATAGTTACATTTGTATTCTAGCAACCCCTGGATAGCACGCATGTATAGATTTTATTAGGGCAATAACTCCTTTGCATTAAAGAAATAAAAATATATTTAGGACTCAATAAGTAAAATTTTCATGCTTTGCTTTCACTGGGAAGTCACAAGGTGACTTCAAAAAGTAATAGTCTTTCCTTGGGGACTTATCTTGTTTCTTTCAAGTTTTATCAAAACCTGCCAAATTCAAGTAGGGATACTCAAAATTTAAAAATGTTTCATGCCAAAAAAAGGTTCAATATCCCTCATAATCAGGGAAATGCAAATCAAAACCACAAAGAGATACCACCTCACCCCAGTGAGAATGGCACACATCAAAAAAACTAGCAACAGCAAATGTTGGCGAGGATGTGGCAAAAAGGAACTCTCCTGCACTACTGGTGGGAATGCCAACTGGTCCAACCACTATGGGAAGCTGTGAGTCGTTCTGCAACTTTTCTTTTTAAATGAAATTTATTTCTTTATATCTATTTTACATCATTGTTTTTTTTAAGAATGTTTACTTTATTAACCCTCCCAGGTAGAGCACCCTTAGAATTTGCTCTCTGAAGGCACCAGCATCACAGTCTGCTGTGCTCTTCTCTCCCTCCTTCCCATACCTCTCCTTCCTCCTCCCCTGCAGGATGTTTTGGGCTTATAATTGTCTGTTTGTTTTTGTTTCATTTTGTCTTGTTATGATTTTCCCCCTTATGTCTTATTTGGTTCCCCTATATTCCTCCTATAAGTGAGACCATCTGATATTTTTCTTGTCCTTCTGGCTTCTTATTTCACTGAGCATAATTCCTTTGAGTTCCATCCATGTTGCTGAGAATGACAGGAGTTTATCTTTTTGGACTGCTGAGCAGTATGTCATTGTGTGTATATACCACATCTTCTTGATCCAATCATCTATTTTTGGGTACTTAGGTTGAATTTAAATTACTGATACTTTTGTTAATTTGACTCTTTTTGGTAATGTCTATATGGCAGGAGTTTTAACTTTTATTTTCTTTGTTCTCCCATAATTCTTCAATATGTAATAATCAGTGGGGAAAAATAGATTATTTATAAAGGTTAATAGAATTTAACCTTTATAAAATTCAAATTTCCTATATACTTAAAAAGAACCAAAGCCTAGTTATTAAATTATGTTCAGTGGATTGTTCATTAACAAAAGGATTCTGTTATTTGGAAAATACAACTCAAAAAAGTAAATAGTTTAAGGGAGGTCGGCAATACTACAGAAAAAGAATAAAAACTATTACCACCAAAAAAAAAAGAAAAGAAAAGAAAAGAAAAAACTATTACCAGGGTTACTATGAGATATATCTTTTAAAGTGTAATTTTATGTTCAAAATTATAAAATACAGTTTATTGTGTAAATCCAGTTTACTTAAGTAACTTGACTTATATTCTACATATATAGGAACAAATTTTACAGGTCATTTTAGTATAGATTATCTCAAAGATCTTCATTTGTAAGAATAAAATATATTGTAACTAAAATGTAACCAAAATATTTTATAACTATATGACAAATATTATAAATATTTTATAGTATTTTTTCTGATGATCACAAAATCTTTTGCCAGTCAGAATATATGCAACCAGTTCTTCCATCTTTAACTTCTTTACTCCCAGGGTCTTATTGGAATAATTGCTGAGAAAATAAACCAAGCTACCAGCCATCTGGCCACTGCAGACATCCAAATGAAAAGTGAAAACCTTGATCAGAACTTTGGCTGACTTAGAAAGCAGTTGGTAGTGGAATACCTTAGTCATTGGAACACTTCTTCTAGAAGTAATTGTGCTGTTTTCGAGCAGGCTCCACAAAATTAAGGGTCCTTATTAGGTACTGTGAGATACTACCTTTAACCACAATCAGATTCTGATGTATAAGAGATTAAGCTATGTAAAATTTCTAAAATATATATATATATATATATGTGTGTGTGTGTTTATGTGTGTATATATATATCTATACCTATTATACACACACACACACACACACACACACACCCTGTCTCTATTTCATGAATTGTGGAAAAATAGGACATATGAATATAAATTTTCCTATGGAATATGTCGCAAAATTATGAATGGTTAATACTAAGGCATTCTTGAAAATATTAAAAGGCCTTTTTTCTCTCTCATATAAAAGGAATGCACTACTTACATATGGAGGCTCCTGTCAAGGTGATTCACAGAGATCTCAAGTCAAGAAATGGTAATGTTTCTATTTTAAAATGTTACTACAAAGTACCTATAAATAAGCCGTCAAACTTCGGGTATCTTTTGTAACTGCTGTTTTTACTCACCACGGACACTATATCCACTATATCCTTCCACTGTTAATAAATGTGAAAGTTCTCCATGTTATTTCAAGAGACTGCATAGTACTCCCCTGTACAAAGAGCAAATTGAGGACATTTGGGTTGTTTGATTTTTTTTATTATAAAAGAAATGTCAAGCTTGATAATCTGCAGTACATTTTCAATACATACCTAATTATTTCTCTAGAGGGCTGTTACTGGATAAACATGCATAATCATGTATTTCTTCTCACTATTTTAGATAGTATACTGAAGAGTTTTGAGATTCTGTTACTTATGATTAGTTTGTGTAAAAAAATTTTTTTTTATTTTTGCATCAGTTTTATTGCCAGTTTTATTATCAGTTTTATTTTAGAAATGATGAACACTTTTTGGAGTTTGGAAAGTAAAAGCCTTCTTTTTCTTTTTCATCCTGTAATTTTATATAGTTTAATTTTGATCTTATGTTTTATTATTTGGAGAGTATTTTAAAGTGACTCGCAGTAACAAACGTTACCTTCAAGCTGGAATGAAAACAGTCGCTTCTTCCATTACATCACTTGGAAGTTAACAGAGAAAGGCAATGAGATTACTTAGCTGCCCAGCACCAGCTGAAGTAAACAAGTTTGCTGTTAAGAAAAAAAGAAAAAAGCATGCTATCACTTCATTTACATGCTTTAATTTATTATTTGCATGCTTTCTAAGGAAGGAAGAGGAGGATATTTTTTAGAAACTTCATCACTGCAGCTAAAATGAGTGTATGCTAACATGGCCGTCCTGAGAGTGGGTGGAAGTGAGCCAGGGGAGTTGACCCATGCCCTGCCTCAGCCTCCAGGACTGTGAGGTTTGTGGGGATGGACAAAGGGAGCTATTTGGTAACTTCAGTATATCAGTGTCCAGCTTGGCCCCCCAGAGATTCTGATTGATTCTTCTTTCCCTTTTCTAAACCATCTCTTTTCTTTTGGCACTTCTTAGACACACAAGCTTCCAGGAGCCAAACACTTTATGTAGGTGCTAACTCTTATAGAATGTTTCTAATAGGAAGTATCAGTCTGTAAAATTCAATTCATGGTCAAAATTTCAAACTTGACTTCTCTCCTTTTAATGTACTTTCTCAGGATACCCTAAGTATCCCATGAGATGCTGATGATTAAATTATGGGTTAATCCATGCTGTCATTATGAAAACTAAATAACAATGAAGAATGCGCCCATTTTTTTTTTTTAATTATAGTTTGTGTGGTTACTTGACAGGAAAATATACACTTGAAACAATTTGTACCTAACTTTTGGCAATTTTTTTCTGAGGGAGGGAATAAGACTCTTTCATGTTCTGTGTTATATATTTATGTTTTAGTTCTTTTTAAATGATCCCTCTTAATCATATATTTGAAAAAAAGCAGTAAAGATATTTCTAAATACAATGAATATTGTAGTAGTATTTAAATTTTTACTTGAAAAGGGTTATCGCATCACATACAGTATCACATTTGCCCTTAGGCTATTTCTCTATTATTAGGTCATGCAGAGATTAATCCGTACATTGACCAGGACCATTAGTAATAGCTAATAAATATTGATCGTCCACTGTGTATTTAGGATTTGATCCTTGACCTCCCTCCTCTTATGCTCTTACTCACCTGCTTCCTTAAAAGCCCTATCTGCAAGTTAACATTCCCAAATGGAGGTCAACTTCAAAACTATGTCTTTTCACCTTCTCTCTATTCCTTAAAAAGGCATTCCTCCATGCTCTTTCTTAGTAAGCGATGATGCCATATGCCTCGGCCGGAAATTAGATTAAAGGAATTCCATCCGAATCATTATCCTATAGTTCCTCTTTATTTGATTTCATTTTTGAGTCCTCCTTCCACATCCAGTTATTCAAAACCAGTCGATTCTGTCTCACACATGTTTGTTGACTTCTCTCCTGCCCTTTGCCACAGCCTTAGTATAGACACCCTCTTCTCTCTGTTCTACAGCAACCTGCAAACACAATGAATGGCACTGCCGCCCGTCGCCTTCTCTAACATGCCGTCCCCTCTGCATGTTTGACCCTTTCACTCCTCCACTTACGGCCCTTCACTGGCTTTCCATCTCTCACAAAGGATCTTCTTGACCTGGCCCCTGCCTTACACAGTCGCCTGCCGTTTCCTCTGCTGCTGAGCTTTGGTACAGGCTCTTTTTTTCTGAGCAGTAAACTACTTTTCTCCACATTTATTCTTCAGGTCTTTGCATACACAGCATTTCTTGCCAGAGACTGCATATGACCTCCTTAGTCTTAGGTATCCCTGCTCCTTGGGTCTGTGTCAGTCTCTCTCTCTCTCATCATGGGACTTGTCCCACTTTATTATAGATGTGTTTCTCTCCCAGTAGACAGCAAGCTCTATGCAAGCAGAGATGATGCCATTCTGGCTTACGTTCCTATAGTCCATTATAAGTCTCAGCAAATATTTGTTGAATAATTAATGTATGAATAGGTGAATGAATGGATACTGTCTTTACTTTCCAAGAAAATTATTCAGTTTGGAGGAAAAATCATAGCTACATGAAGTAATAATGCTAATATTTCCTCAAAATCAAGTGAGTGGCCTAGTGGCAGCATTTGGTTTTCCTTACCACTAAATGATGCCTTTTCTTATTGGTCAATGCTACATGTGAATTAAATAAATTTCTTGAAAGCCTCTTTATTAGCAGCACTTCATGGGATTAATTTTTTTTATTTTAATGTCAGTTCCTTTTTGCAAAAGTTTTAATACAGGAATTTATCTCTTCTAACTTCATAATACCATATGGAAGGTAGAAATGTACATTTGTGATCTTAGATTGCAATTTAAATTATTGTCATAATTTATCTTTTTATTTACTTTTTTTTTAGTTGTTATAGCTGCTGACGGGGTGTTGAAGGTAGGACTAATTCTTTTACCTTAAAATACCTATATATATTTGTTAATGTGAAATGTTGGCTTTTGTGGATGATAATTCTTTTTTAGTCAATAAGTAGAAAATTGCTATTTGTTCCTCTTTTCTCAGATATGTGATTTTGGTGCCTCTCGGTTTCACAACCACACAACACATATGTCCTTGGTTGGAACTTTCCCGTGGATGGCTCCAGAAGTCATCCAGAGTCTCCCTGTGTCTGAAACTTGTGATACATATTCCTATGGCGTGGTGAGTTCATTGTTTTTTTTTTTTTTATGCTAACGAGAATACAAAAATCCAAAACCTATGGGAGAGCTGCAACAATTAAACAGTTTTCAGACACTATGTTCATTCTGAGGAATGCCCACAGCCGCCTCAGAGAGAATATTTCCTAAATGCTTCCTGCTTATTTCCATAGCTCACTTTTATGCACCTGAGTGTTTTATCAGCGTTGAGGAGAAACCTATGCAACTTCCAAAAAACACACTAGAAGCTGCAGCACTGGTCCTGGGGCCTGCCTTGGCAAGAGTTCCCAGGGGTGCTGGTCCCAAGTCATTCAGTGGAAAGGAGAATCATTTGGAGCAGGACTCCATTAGGAGGGGTTACAGTGAAGAAAAAAGCACCAGTAGAGGTGCCAAATGAGTTAATTAACAGGAAACCTTTTCGTGTCAACCATTCAACTGATTAAGGAGTTTCTGTTGAATACGGAAGAAACTGTATTTAGCGTTTAACTCGTGGCCTGGCCATGTCTGCTTCAGACCCTATAACATCTGAAACAAGGATCTAAGGTGTTACGTACCCGTAAAAACTGAGCAACCCAGTTTGAGTAATAGAATTGTGTGTGTGAATAACAGAAAAACGTGTGCATCGGAGTCATGACAGGGGAACAATGTCTAGGGGAAGGAGGTGGCTGGAAGGCCCTGCCTTTGTTTGGTTTGGGTTGAAGGATTTAACCTATCAGTCTGTCAAGGAGTTTGACTTGCTGCAGCAACCTCACAGCCAGTTGCAGCAAGTTATTCGTTTCACTCTGTGTTTCCACACCAATGTTGTTATGCAGAACCTGTTTCTCTCAGTCAGCTGCTTTTAAATATCAATTCTACTTTCTCCTTCGAACCTTCTTTTAACCAGTAAAAGCAAAAATGCCTCAGCGGTCACTCTCTTGACAAAAAGGGGGTTTACTTGGAATGCCTACTATCTAACCTATAGCCTGCAGATCAGAAATTCATTCCAAAAAAATACACAATTGCTAATGTAATGCTGTAGGAGAACTCAGATCTTGTTTCATTCTGACCCTGTTCTGCTCTAGATTAACACCGTTAGTAAAAGAAAAAGTACACAGCATGCTCTCCAGAGCCCTTTGTTTATAAACAATCACGATTTTTAAAAAAGATGAAGGCAGTATTCCCTGGTCATAGTGAATATTACTCAGAAGAGCAGGATAAGAGTTGCTAAGGTAAACATCATTTTAGTTTTAGAAGTCTGTAGTTCATAAACTGAAGGTGGTAGCTAGCTAGGAAAAAAACAGTGCTGTTGTTTAGATTTTTTAATGTCATTTAAAGATCAGTCTCACTCATCAGTGTGCATGCGTCAGATGCACGAAACACCTCACAGCTCATTAAAAATCTATTCTGTTCATCAAGTTTCCCCACCCCACCAGCAGTCACAAACCAGTAAGACCATAAAAAATAGTTATACACCACCAAACAAACAATATATTTTTGCTTTTTCATGTTTCTGTTTCTTCATACTTGCTATAAGAATTAGTCTCTCATAGTCTCAAAGTCCCTAGACCTCCACAACTTGATAAACCTGTGTTGCTTCTGAGCACATGGCAAGACAAACCACCTTCATACAGCCTTAAAATAAATGCTTTGCAAATGCCAGAAGTGGATCTTATGATGCTTGCTTCTGAGCTGGTAAACTGCTAAGCAGGGAACTGTTTATCTCTCCATTTTATAAGAAAGGAGATTTTTCAGCCTACTTATAATGACTTTTCTTGAAGGACCAAACCAAAAGGAATTTTTAAGTCTGTTATCCACACACACAGAAAAAGAAAAAACATTAAGACTTAAGGAAAACACTTAGCATTGTGAGAATAAACCTTCTGAGAATACACTGTCTAGCCACATTTTTAAAACAAAGCTATCCTAATGACAATGCAGAAAGGATTAACTTCTTAGAAGCTTCTCAGCCAAAACCAGCTTTGCAAACAGACTGGCTTGTGGGAGAGCATCTCTGCCTTGCTTGTCTGTGAGCCCTGTTCCAGAACAATCCCAGCTCAGGTAATGGCTCTCCATTGTTTGTAAGAGAAAAGGCAGGAAAAGTGCCCAGCCCTATCCAAGTTTCTCTTCTGTCAACTGAAAATAGAAATTTTCCTTTTGAGCACATTTTAAACTTGAGGGCACAGTTTAAACGTGAGGACGTCTCAATATAAAAAGAGTTGGAAAATATTTTCAAGGTGAAAGATCACAATAATTGGCCCGAATTCCTGTAACTGATATTTTCAGGCATAGTTTAATATATTTTTAGACCTGCAAGTGACTTCTCAACAAAGTTACCTTTTTGTGCCAAATCATTTTGTTTAGTGAAAAAAAAAAAAAACTGTTGTTCTATTCCATACCACCTACTTTTTGATGCATTCCTGAATATGGTGAATAAATAATAGGAACTCTGAGATGTGCTGACACTGGAATGAACCTAAAGACCTCATATGGGCTTCAGAACCCAGCAGTTAATGATGCCGTCCAGATGATTTTATATCCATCATGTGGCCCCCTTGGGTAGAGTAGCTCTTTAGAAATACAGAGAGGGACTGCAACTGGCTTATTTTTCCAGACTTAGAACGCTTAGTGAAATAGAACTTGGATCTTAACTTGATTTTGGACTCTTTCAAACTGGTTATTTTGAAATAAAGAGTGACATGACAACGATTTTTTCCCAGTGTTATTCCCCTAGCTCTTGGTTTTGCATTTTGCCGTGTCAGTTTTTGTGTTTGCAAGTTTGTGCATACAGGCCAACACAGAAGGGAGGGGCAGAAGGCTGCTCATCTGACGTTTTTTGGGGTCTGGAGCATTTGATTTACTTACCACCGATTCACTTCTCCTGCTCTCCTTGGAATGCGAAATCTATTAATTTACTTGCTCTTCCATCTTCCCCCCTCCCAACCCCAGCACCAGGGGAGTGGTAATTGCAGCAAATTGAGGGGCTTCATTTCCTGCTCAGCCATCTCACCATCCAACCCCTCCTCCACTGTGCAGGCTCAGGATGTGGGGGTGATGGCCCACCTAGTCTTGTCCTCACCGTCCCTTACCTGCAGTGTTAGAATCCTCTTCTGGGGTGCCCTTACCTTTTCCTAATCACTTCTCTGACTCAAATGGAATTATTCAGTAGCTCTTCTAAAGAAGTACCTTACACACTTGATTAAAAGCCCAAAGAGTCTTCAGTGACTTTTTTTTCTCCTGCTTGAGCAGCATCTGCCAATTTCCCTGATTTTCCTGCTAATTATCTTTGTGTAGCTGGAATTCATTTAACATGTTATGGCTCAACGAAGACTGAGTACTGACTAAGGAAATAGAGGATAGAGAGTTTATAGATCTGCTGAATAAACTATATGTGCTCAATGCACATTCTTACTTAGAAGAGGTATTTTTGATTTTTAGAAGAAGAAGAAAAAACAAATCCAAACTGCTAAGTCTTGCTTCCACCGTGGCTCCATACTGAAAATTCAGACTGGCACACTCTGTGGTATTGTGCTTTCCCTTCCCTAAAGTTCTATGGCCTTAACCTGTGGCTTGACCTTCAGGTGAGACAACAAATTCACCTCCTAGCTCAGCCACTTCATAATGGAGTGTCTTTGGTCACAACTTTGTTTCTTTAACCTTGGTTTCCTCATCTACAAAATCAGGGTACTATCTCCCAAAGGGAGTAATATCAATCATGATACTGTAAAAGGGTTTAACAGAGTATGCAGAACCCAATGAGTGCTCAGTACTGGAAATGGTGGTTATTATTATGACTACTATTGATAATTTGAATTGTTCCTGTTACAGGGCAACCCAGTGTGAACTGGGCTGCCTGTCTCTGGGTCCTCACCCGTGTGCTTAAAATTTAATTGTACTGCAGGCACACACAAAAAGGGTCAATACTGGGTTTATTTACAAAAGGGGAAAGGAAAAGGAGCAACTAGGGAAAGAGAAAGAGATACAAGGTAACTAGAACATTCTACCAGCTGGGCTGACTTGGAACTCCAGTAATACACTGATAGCTACCAGCCACGTGGTCCCGATAGAGAGTGCGTAGAAAATGGCTCCCTTACATATATCCCCCAAAGTCCCAGAATGCCTGCTAAGCTCCGCCCTTGGGTCCTCGCAGTTCTCTCCTTGGTATTGCTGGGAGTTGTAGTTTCCAATCACTGGAGTAGGGGGTGGAGTCCACAAAACTCTACAGAGTTCCTTTAGGACAACATTTCCCCCTAACATTCGTGCACTTTTCAAAGTTTTAGTAGACTCTAACTTTTGATGACTGTTCAAATAGAGAAGACATCCTTGTGCACAATTTCTGTTATTCCGTATTTAAAGAGAAACCAAAGTCATGGGATGTGATTTGCTATCTTTGGGCATTCCATCCTACTTCAGATTTATTAATCATGCTGTCTTAAGACTTGCAGAGAGATGGACACACATAAATACCCTCTCCCACACACACATTCTGCATCTATATACATAAAGTGTTGATTATACTTTAAAATATGGTGTAATAAATTTTGTTATAGGTGAATGAGAATGAATCCCTTAGACTAACTCATTTTGAGAGAGATTTCTCCAAAATAAAATCTAAACGTTACAGCTTTACAAGTGCCCACCGTTGTGGTTTAGCCAGTGAATTGGATTTCTGACTTGATTTCTGTTTCAGATGAAACAGTTATTGAAACTTCAAAACTATTATCGAATTCCAAGTGATTATACCATAATGTATCAAAGATTGGACATACAAAGAGTTTTGGCTGACAAAATATAAAATCTAATTTGTGGGAATACATGAAATTTCTAATAGCTAATGGGATAGTTAAAGATAGTTTCATTGATTTCCCAAGATTTTAAGTCTAGCTCTAGATGTTGTAATTTCTAAACCAGGCTTTTTTCTTCTAATATGTATCTATTTCTCCTCTGTCTCTATGTACATATAAAATATATGGAGGAAGTTAGGTATGTGAATTTCTAGGTTTTCCCCAAGCTTCTAGGAGGGGGATGGTTGTGTCTGGTAATTGGATACAGCTAAATGTTAGATAAAGTTTCAGTAATATACCAAAAATATAAAGTACAAGAATAAAAATTCCACTGTCTTTTGTTCCAGGTTCTCTGGGAGATGCTAACAAGGGAGGTCCCCTTTAAAGGTTTGGAAGGATTACAAGTAGCTTGGCTTGTAGTGGAAAAAAACGAGGTAAGACTCCGATTCTCCATTCAGGTACATAGATCAGAAAACAGTATTGGGGTTTTGCAAAAGACTTTTTCATCTTCTTCAAATTGAAAGTAAGTTCACGCTTATGGAAAGATTAGCAGTAGGAGCTAACACAAAGGGTCAAAGTGATGTTATTCCTCATGAATGGACCCTTTACATCTAATTGTTGCAGCTTCACGTCGTGATGCTGTAGATCAAAAATTGTACAAGTACTGTACTAGTTTCTCAGTCTCAATTGTGAAACCTAGGGGTTTGTTCTTAGTGATGAAAGAAGCCATTGCGTCCAAGGTAGGGGAACAGTTTAACTCCATCTCCTGCGTTTAGGACATCTTTTTTACTGGCCGGGAGTTGATATATCTGTAAGAGACCTTCAGCTACTTCAACTTACCTCTCCCAGCAGGAGTCACTATAGTACAAGAAACTGTCGCTTAGATGAGAATTTCAAAAATAAAAGAAGAAAAAATAGTTTCAAAAAAGGGAAAAATTACAGTTTTGCCACCTACGTTGAGCACTACATTGAAGATGAGCTCCTCACTGGAATTGGCGAGGCAGTGGCATCGCTGCTCACTTCTTCATGCAGAGCCTTTCCATTTCAAAAGGACTTCAGTGGCGTAAACACCGTTTGTGCTGTGTCCCCAGCCTCGCTTTTCTTCTTCCCACAAATTGAGGCTTTCAGCTAGTTGGACCTATGAGCCTACATCAGAGAACATGGTACATTCATATCAAAGAGAGCAACTACATTTTGAAAGGTTTAAAATTGTGACTGAAACGCACAGCCATGGAAATTCTCAGCATAAGGATGAAGCATCCACTATCAAGGTATTAGGAGAACTTAGATCATGTAATGGAATCACGCAGTTGTCTTTGCAATGCAAAACAACTCGATTTCACAAACTTCTTCATTTCCCAATCTTAGCCATGCCTTCTACACAGGGTAAGAGTGCAACCTTAGGGTAAAATAATTTGCAAAATAGGTGAATATACAGAGAGATTTCCCTTTTTAATCCTCTAAAAGAATTGGGCTGATCTCCCCATATGAGTGCAGGAACAAACTCCATTAATCAAAAAGCTGCTATTGACTAAGAGAAACCGAGTCTGTCTTTTAGATCACATAATCCAGTTACTTTATTAATTTGTCCTCCTGAGCTGCTGGAAATGGGTGACGTGTACATAAGAGCCGACTTGATGGGAAAGAGCTGCCTATTTAAGAGTGATAAAAGGAAGTTATTCGAGAATGTGTTTTTCTCATTGTTTCACAGGAGCTGTTCTGTTTTAATTAAATATGATCATAATTCCTGGTGTGCTATTAAGTCAGACCTCACACAGATTGACTGATATTTTCACAATGTGACAACCTACTTGCTTCTGTTCTGTTTCTTTTGCCAGTGAGATGATTAGATGATTGGCTCTCAGTTTACAAATGAGAATAAAGAAAGTTATTGACCTTCTGTTGACTTTGGAGCAAAACGGTCCATGTTATCTTTCCCCTCTACATCATTTTAAAGTAAACTAGAAGAAACTTGTTTTAAGAACTAATTGGACCCTCTAACTATGTGGAGGAGACAGAATAATATTTGTAAAATAGTATCTCATCAAAAGGATCCCAGAATAGGTATGAATCTAAAGTATTTTCACAACATTGGAGTAACTGACAAGGATTTTCAAAGCTGAAGAGAAAAGTGCATTCAGAAGCTGCCTTTGGTTAGTTGACTTGAGGTGTGGGAATCACCCAGAAGTCACCTTCAGAACCTCCTCACCATGTTCCGAAAGGAGGCTACGGCCTAAAGCAGAGAATGCTCTTTTCTTTACAGTGAAATCTGATGACCAGCTAGTAACTGAGACCGCTCAAATACATTCCATATTATATTTATTAAAAATTATAGTAAGCTGAGAGAAATTCACATGTTAAAATAAGTTTCCTCACTTTTTAATGATACATGATAATACAAGAACATTCACTCAGTTCCATTCTGCCAATACTTATTTGTCAAAAATATAGAAGTTGTCTTAAATGTAGTTTCCTTTGTCTTCAGTCAAGAAGGTGATGTTATTTTACATCATAAATTTGTTGCTATAACAAATTTTGCTGACATAGCATTAAAAGAATGCCCAAGAATTTACTGTATTTAACAATAAATCAGATCTTAACTTACATATAATTTGTAAAATCCCATCAACTGCCACTCATTTTTTTTTTACTTTGGTATACCTTGGGTTATTAAGTTGAAAGGGAAAGCTTTACTTATTTAACAGGCTTCATTTAAATGAAGAAAAATATGTTTAAACTTTTTTAGGAACACGTTTTAAGTGTGAGTTGGTTATACAGGAATGGCCCTAGTTCAAATATTAGGGCTACCTTTTTTTTTAACGTTTCACTCTGAAAAAATTATAGACTCATAGAAAGTTGCAAAGATTATACACAGTATTCGCTGTACCCTTTACCTTAGCTTCCCCCACTGGCAACACAAAGGAAAGGTGTAATATCAAAAGCAAAATGTTGACCTTGATACATTACTTCAGCCTAGACTCTAGATCTACTCAGTTTCACAATTTAGAATCACTCTTTGTGCCTGTAGGAAGATCAGTATTTTCTAAAATTTCTACTTGAACATCTTTGTTTCTAAGCCTTTAATAACAAAACATGACCACTAGACAATTATTTTTGTTAATATTGAATTTAAAACTAGATCCATAAAGCACTGTTAAACCATACAAAACAAGCAATGAACAGTCTAGAAGGAATGAATTTAAGAGGCCATTCTAATACATGTTTTAAATGTTACAGATATTGGCCAGAAAACTCAGTTAGTGTTTATTTAGAATGTTACAGCAGCATAATGTCTGTTTTTATGGTAACTTACTTTCTCAAAATATGGGTTTTTTTTTTTTTTTAAGTAGTAAGGCTACTATTCTTGATGAACATAGAAATCCTCAAAATACTTAGTACATTGTTGTTGTCTATACTTTAGAGGAGAGAATAATTCCTGAGTCTTAGGTAGAAAGTGGTACATTTAAAAAATGTCATGCCTACTGTAGAGGTTGGGAGATATTTCAGTTTTAAATTTGAATATGTTCTACTTTAAATTATTTAAATTTTAAGTAGCATTACAAACCTGTACTCATATCTGGTTATTGCAGAATGTCTTAATGCATGAAGATGGCCCACATTTATATAACAGAAGTTTAAGCATTTTAGATGCTATTTTAAGGATCTTTATTTAAGGCACAAAATAATCCAGTATATAAAGTGTCTGAATGTAAATTTAACTAATATTTGACCATATCAGGTAATTTAAAATAATTATGTCTATTTGTATAATGTCTCAGATGTGGGATCTAAATGTTTGTCAGTAGGAAAAGAAGAAATGATCAACATCCATACCCACCCACTTCACACTTCGATCATTGGGAAAATGTCGAGGAAAGTTGTATTGAAAATGTTAACCTTTATGAAAAATTATTTTGAGTTGTAAATGCTGTATATTCAGCTACACAATTGCAATTACTCTTTGTTTTATGTCCCCACTGCAACCATCTAATATTTTTTAAAAAATAAACACCTGCTTACATTCTTAGAAAGTTCAGTGCATTTCAAAAAATACTTTCTGTCTGTGAATCAGAGAATAGTGTCAAAATTTTATAAACCTCATTGCTTGCTTTGCTCACCTGAATGGGGCATTTGAATTTTGGAGAAGAGTAAGAGTTTAGGTTTTAGGATAGGGTGCGGGATCTAATATTCTTGACTGCCTCCAGGTGCTTCCCTCCAGTGTTTACAACAAACAAAAATGCCTTCAAAGATTTCTCAACAGTCACTAGGGGTAGTTCATGTTCTATGCAAACCACTACTTCAGAGAGTTAGGACCTGTGCGCATATCATCATTGGTGTATCAGGTTATTACAGTTTATGGGTCTGACCAACACTAAGCGATGCTTGGTCACATACTCAAATTGTCTCGTGGACCAGTGGGAAATGCACATCTCTTTAAAATGGTTCCATGCTGATGAAGATGTGTTCTGCCTGTATACCTGCCGTCAGAGCTGAAAAGGTTTCCTTGCTACCTGGCCTATTTGTGTATTTCATAGTTGCCTGAAAAAAGTTCAGTGATAGATTGCTGGTTTTAGAGTTAGTGTTTAGTGACTTGCCCCTCTCCTGCTGTAGTTTCTTTTAGACTTGACACTTGTATTGCATCTGTTGTGTTGAATTTCTCAAAGACTGTGATTCCTCTTCTCAGGACATGTATAAGCAACTTTAACAATTAAATATTATGAATCAAAATGTAAACTCTCACCTATCATATGTTAATCAGTGTAAGCCTTAAATGTCATGTACTGTTTATGGTCATAAATTAACTCTATGAGCTTTCAGTTAGTTTTTGCTTACCTTCAGGAGTAAAGCTTGGTATTTTTTTATTCTTCTTTCTTGGCTATCTAGAGATTAACCATTCCAAGCAGCTGCCCCAGAAGTTTTGCTGAACTCTTACATCAGTGCTGGGAAGCTGATGCCAAGGTATGTGTATATTTGTTTGTTTGTTTACTGTGTTCAGAATTCTGAAGTTCCCCTTGCTTGCTTGACTGAGTTTTTAAAGCCCAGGCTGATAAAAATCCATGCATTGCATGACTGCCATAAACCCTGGATTGGCCGCTCAGGCTTCCCCTCAACATCTGCTTATCTTCCTCCCTAAAAACCCTTCACTGCTATTTTGTAGGCTATTGCTGGAGAGTTGGAAAAGTCCCAAAACATAGGCTTTCATGTGGTTATCACATTTGAGCCCATTTCCTTTCCCTGCAAAGATAATTTTAAGATGCTCACATTCATATGGAAATATTTATAGATAAAATGATAGGATAGTTTTGAATTTGTTTCAAAGTAAAATAAAGGGAAATGGAATGTTTAGCAGAGGCTAAACAAGATTGGCCATGATCATTTTGAAGCTGAGTGATAGGTATATGGAGGTTCATATAATAAAAAGTTAAAAAACAAAAAAGGGCCTTACAGACTAAACATTAGTATAAAGGAGAATTAGTAAGGGGGGGAAAAAAGCCCAAAAGTTGTTGAAATCCGTTCACTTTTTAATAGAAATATATGTGTTACAAATTGACCTTTTAAATAGAGATCTAAAAAGAAAAAAAATAGGAATGGAATTTTCTTTTTTCTTTCAAGATTTATTTATTTATGCATACAGAACTGGGGTACAGGCCAGTGGTGCAGGGGTGGTGAGAGGATCCACCAGACAGAGTGGTGAGCAGAACATGCCGACTGATGAAGCACACTGTTGAGGGGAGCAGCGGGCAGGTCAGGAGACCTCTACAGCTTCCTGGCCAGGGATTGAACTAGTGCCGCAGTAGCTGCGGTAACTTCAGAATGCTGTTGTTTAACCCATTGTGCCACCAGGGAGGGCCCAGGAATTGAATTTCTTTCTTAATTTTAACCCAGTTCCCTCAGAGCCCCGCTTCCCAATGAATTCATGACATAGCAGACAGTCTTTTCTTCTTCAGCATTGCTCTGGTGGGGATAACTCACCAACTAGGGAGTATGGGAACTGTGTAAGCACAGCACGGAATTCTCACTGCCATGAGCCCCAGGCACACGCTGCACCCACTGCTGCCCCTTGGCTAAGCTGGCCAGCGCTCTGTTTTGGAAGCTTGATGGAAGTTCTGTCCAGCTTTGTATATTTCCTCTTTGCCCTCATATTCAGCAGCTTCAACCTTTGCTTTCACTCCTGTTCATAAAAGCACCTTCATCCTTCTTAAGTGTAAAGTCCTATAGCTACTTAATTTTTTTTTAATTAAAGAACTTCACATTTTAAAATGTTTTTCACGTGTTGCTGATTTTTAGTATTCCGTGACAATTTTGCATAGATGTTTAGTCGTCTCTTTAAACCCTTTTGTGTTAGTGTGTGATTTTGAAGAATAGGGGAATTTTTTAAGTATTAGGAGAAATGCCTGCCCGCAGTAGCTACCCTAGTAGGCACTGTGAGCTTCTGCTGACTTACCTCCGGGCATCGTGCGAGCACTCTGACACCCTTTGAGTACTCTTTCCTGCAGTTATGCGTCCCTTGTGGCATAGACAGTCATTTTGGCAGTACTTTGCCCTCCGACACTTAAAAGGAGATTTCACCTGAAATTATTTGCATTGGTGCAACTAGATCTCTATCATTGTGATTATATTTCAGAATGCAAAGCAGGTTTTGAATTTCTTAATCAGAAACTCTACACCACATTAATTAAAATGCTAAGAACATACATTTATGGTGGATTAATTAAGCGACAGTGTAAACACCTAACGCATTAGGCCCAGCATTGAGGCCATGAAGTTTGCCATGTTAACATGCTTTATCATGCTAACACAGGGGTCTGACCCTCTTTGGGACCAGAGGAATCTTGTATTCTAGCCAAGTATAAAGAAAATTTTAAATTGTCTTTGGTGCCTACGTTCATGACATTTTGTTCTAATAAAAAACTAACACTTGTCCCCTGTATCTGAAGGGATGGCATACACAGCTGCGCCACGTACGCACTGCCTCGTAGCTGATCTCCAGAGTACTGCATAACCCTCCTTTTTCTGAACGTGCCTCAGTGTCCTGTTTACCCCAGCCATGTGTAGTCCTGTGTGCCCACAGCCTAGGCTACTGCCTTACCTTGTTTTCAGAAACATCTTTTCATCCTAAATGAACCATAGCTCTATGGGAAACTGGAAGTAGGCCCATGAGTGTCTCCCTCAGCACTTCACATAAACTCAGTTGAGTAAATGCCCACTTTGTTGTTGACTGAAATGATGAGACAAAGGTCTGTTTCACGAGAGGCACCTTTCAGTCTGGCTGCAAGTATGTGGTTTTTCAGCCAGAAGTTGGTGCCTGTTCTATGCACGTAGATAGAATAAGAATTATTTTAAAAGTTTCTGTTTGTTTCTAGCCCTTAACTCTTTAGAGTATTAACACATAGATTAAAATCGCCAGCTCACTTAAAAGAATACATTTTTCAGTAAGGAGGGGGAAATGTATACAAGTTGGTATTCGATAAATGTCAGATCGTTAAGTGACTTATAACAGGTGCTCAGAATATTTTATTGAGAAAATAGGGAGTAAAGATGGATATTGGTTCATCCTACAGTGGCATTTCTAAATACGGAATAAGGGAACTAAAATCGTAATTTTGATAGGAAGGGGTATTTATTCGCAGGTGATAATGCATTTTGAAAGGTTTAAGTCCTGGTGTCTGTAACTTGCCTTCTGTGTGACACCACACAATTCATACTTTCCCAAGGTTGATCTTCCTTATAGATAAGATGAAGATAAAAAATGTGGAAATAATGTATACAGCTGCTTAATAAATTGGCCTGCTGTAGCTTTTTTAAGGAGGCAAACCCCTGTATATTTTCAAATATACAGGAATGTTGACCAAATGTTGTGTTCTGTTACTGGAATCCCCACAAAATATCACTGCCACAAAACTGGCGGGGTGTTGCTTTTTACATGTTCATTTTGATCACTCCTAACTATATATCCTAACTATAGAAATAAAGTCTCTTTCTAAGGATGATTGTCACCCAATTATGGAAGAGTTTCACCTTATGTGAAGAATGACTAAACATGGAAGAAAAACATTTTTCTATAAAAAATCATCAAGTCCTCCTGCTGCTTTTCCATGCAAAATGAAAATCCTTTATTTGTTGTATAATTACTTCCCTTGCAAATGATTAAAACATTTTTCTTTTTACAGCCTGACCTTTGTGGCAGAAATTAAATGGGAACTAAGTCAAAAGGAGACAGAATATTTTCCAAATTTCCTACTTAAGGCATTTTCCTCTTTGCTGATAAGAATGCTTAATGCACAACACAGCACTTGGCCACCTACGCCCTCTTTAAACACATGTACGTGCATGTATGTGTTTAGAGAAGTATCATCATGACAGAACACAGAATAAGTATCCCAGCTTTATATTCCTGAGTAATGTAACATAGGAAGCATCAGGTCCCACGAGCAAGCCACCCCAACATTGTTCCTTCTTGTTTTTGTGCTCTTAAATTAAAATGCATGTTTTAATTACGGCAACTGTAATTTGTTCCAAAATGGTGTAATTATGAGGCATGATGAAGAGAGACTGTGCCTCATCCTTTTATTATCTTTCTCCATTTCGGCTGGTAACCTTTTGTCTCCACCGTGGCTAGAACGTAAGTAGATGGACCAGGCTAGTTGCTGCTAGCTAAGGAGAGGTTCGAGCCACTGCTCTTTCCGGGTCTCGTACACCGTCCCTTGCTGTGTCCCAGCGCCCACTTCACCTTAATGTGAAATAAACATTGAGGACAATGAAGCTCTGATGGCATAAAAATTGGGGACATTTTCCTGACAATTAGTTTAGGAAATTTCATTAGTTCTGATATTAATAAATAGACTTCCCCCAACATTTTATTATGAATTTTTTCAAATATACAGGAATGTTGACGCATTTACAGTGGCTGTTGATCTGCCTACCACCGAGGCCTTACTATTTGCTTTCTACGCTTTCTTTAATTCACAGATAGGCTTTTAACGGAGTCAGCTGTTTAGTAGTCCTAATCATATGCAAAAGAGAGAATTCATACTTTACTTACCAAGAGAAATACTGGGTTTTCTTTTTCTCTAACATTAAACTACACGATAGAAAAGTGACATCTGAGTTTATTCTTTTGAATAGCTGATTGAAAATAAAGACCATGTTTTCCTAAGCCAGAGTGATCCGACAGTTGTAGAGTAAATCAGAACATTGTATATCATGTTGCTTTTTGTTCCCAGAGCTAATGGCTGTGTTTGTGGATTTTCTCTTATATTCTACTTTAAGTCTCAACAAGTGACTATTTATTTTCTCTTCAGAAACGACCATCTTTCAAGCAAATCATTTCAATTCTGGAGTCCATGTCAAATGACACTAACCTTCCTGACCAGTGTAACTCATTCCTGCACAACAAGGCAGAGTGGAGGTAGGCGGGCCTCCCTGGGGCCCTGTGTCTTGGCTCTGTGGGACCTGAGGCTAACTGTGGTGGAGACAGGAACCAGAGAACTTATGAATAGTCCTGATTTCTTTTTGTTGTTGTTAAGATTTATTTATGCTTACAGAACTGGAGTACTGGCCAGAGGTGTAGTGGGTGAGATTATTCCCCAGAGACAGAGTGGGGAACAGAACAGACAGATCTATTGAAATACACTGCTGAGGGGAGAGGCGGGGGGTAAGGAAAGCTCTGCAGTGCTGTGTGGCTCAGCTCCCTGGCCTGATATTGAACTCGTGTTGCAGTGGCTTTGGAGAACTTCATAGTGCAGTGCTTTAACCCATTGTGCCACCAAGGAGGGTCCATAATAGTCCTGATTTCTAAGCATGATTTAGAAATTACTTTTTTGTTTGGTTTTATTTTAAAGATTTTTGGAGATCTAATAAGTCCTCCATTTCATATTTAAGCAGAAAAAAAGCTTTGCTCTAAGCTTTGTTGCATTATCCTATGTCTTAAGTATTTGGAAGGAACATTGAAATCATATCTTCGGAGACAAGAGACAGTTCCCAGACATGTCTCTGTATATACTGTGTTGGGAAGTTTCGGCCTCTGTCTGGTTGAGAAATAAAAATACCATTTGCCTTGGTATTTGCAGGGCACTGTATCTGTTGATGGAGGAGGTAGGGAGACAGTCAGAACACCTTTAAAAGGAAACTTTTGATGTGATTAAATCCTGTTGGATTTTGTCAAGTGTAAAACAAACTCATAATGAGAGAATTGTATTGTGGGAGTGGAAAAAGTAAACCTGGGATAAGATATTTGAGCCAGGTCACATGATGCACTAATATAAATAGCATGTTTGGGAGCTGACATTATTCCTCCCTGACTCAGCAGAGATTTGAGTAACTTCATCTCTGCTCCTGGTCTGGGCGGTGTAACATGACTCCTTACGCCACCTGCTGTTGCCAAATGAATACTGCATGCACCTTGAAAATGACCAACTTCTTTACTTCTGTCACTAGGCATTTCTGGACTTTCAGGTCAATTGGTATTTTGCAATAATCTTATTTATTTTGATTCTGCGACATCACTATCTAGGGCCAGTGAGTTGATTGAATTTTTACACAGGGATACAAAAAACCACAATCTTCTCTGGTATAGGTATGAGAGACTTTGTTGTAGACTGAAGTAATTAACATGACAAAACATGTATAATACTTTTTTCTACTGTAAGAGAGCAACACATCTAATCCTATCACTCCATTTAAAATTCATATATTTGCACTTAGAACAAAGGATAAAATATTTAAAACTCTCTACTCTGGCCTCAGCAGCCCCATTTTAACAGCTTCATTCCATCCCTCAAATTTTGGCTTTAGGTCCCTCAAAAGATGCATATTTTTTCCTCACTCAGAATCCCGGCACATGTGGCTTCTCCTAATACTCATTCCATGTAAGACCCACCCCCACTCCTGACACCCACCCAGTCTTAGTAGCTCCCACGCGTCATTCAGATAGTGGCTGCAGTAACACGTGTCTCCTGACTCCAGACCAGATGGGGTTCTTCCTGGTGTGGTCTGAGAGCACCTCGTCTGTAGCCCCTCTTGTTGTTGGATTAATAAGCAGTTCTACAACTTGTCCTTTAATGCCTATTTCACTGGCTAAAATACAAAGGGTCAGATAGCCTCTTTTGTTCATCACTGTACCGATGGTGCCCAGGAGGGGCTTGGGCCAGCAATTGCTCAAGAAATATGCAGGAGAGGCAACACTGGCCGTAACAATGTGAAAGGACATTCCGTTCCACAAGAGAATGCAAATATAAGGTGATTTGTTTGCTGTGATGCCTGTGTTCTTTCCTTCATTCATTCAGACAATCACTGAGCCTTTGCAGGGCAAGGTGCCTTCTAGGTACTGGGTGTGGTGATGAGGCAGAAAGTTCCCAGTGCCATGCAGTACCCACTGTGACTACTAAATATAAAAACACTCATAACGACTTCATGAGTATTTTAATAAGCTTTATGACAGTGGATGTGGATGTCTGAGTATATAAGCATGCGATCTAATGTAGTCTGAGGAGGTGACACAAAGGATGATTCCCTGCTGAAAGGCTACTTAATCTTCTACCCAATTGATCAGGTGGATTTGAATATGACTGTTAATATTGTTGATGTAGAGAGTCTTCTAAAGTATGTCAGTGAAACCTGAAAATAGAAAATTGTAACTTTTCCATATAAAAATGGAAGGACTTTTTATGGCCAAAAGCAATACCTATCACAAATGAATTGCAGGACAAATGTCATCCTGTTCAAACTTATCCCCTCCTATATGGGACGCTGGTGGGCGCCCTCATGGGCTGCCTTTCAGAAACTAGTTAATCCTGACAGCTGGAAAGAAAATATATTATAGATCTTTCCCTGAACCCCTAAAACCACAGTTTGAGAAGCAGCAGAATTGTTTTAACTGAACTTGACAACTGGTTAAAAACACGGGGAAGAATAATAACAGTGACTGCGATAATATCAGTGAACACAGCTGTAACATATTACATTCCTACCAGATGCTTATACTTTTTTTAGATTATCTTTTTTAATCCACGTGGCAGCCTTAAGCTATATCAAGGATGCAAAAGCCAAGGCCTAGGCAGGTCAGATACCTGCCTAAGGTCGTACAAGACAGCGTGGTGGAGCCCGGCAGGTCTGGGCCACAGGCCTGGGTGGCTCATGTGCCTCGAGTCCCTCACTGGACGTGTGGCCGGTGCCTGTTCCCTTGACCACATTCCGTTTTAGTGATAGAAGCTGTTCCAGGGCTTGATCACTTTAGGTTATTAGGGCAAAACCACTGTGTCACTCAATATGCCAAGTGCTGAAAAGAATCAAATGTTTTGTTGGCTCATCCGGATACTTCCAAGGACAAGACATTCAGACTGCTCCCCTCTTTCTTCCGACCATGTATGGTGTCTGAAGCCATATGACAAGTGACTTCAGTCCTGCTCTGGTGTTTCTGGCTAATATTTGTTTTCTGGTAGAGCCTCCTCTGCACACAGACCAGATGGAATACCTCATTTCAAAAAATATGATGATTATGCTGAAAACTCCTTTTAAAACTAAATTATTGAAAGCCACACAGACTCTCTTCTTGGATCTGATAAATGATAGGGAAGAAGCCTAGTGTCAGATCGTCCCCACTTGTTGCGTCTTCAGCTCGTCTCTCTGGTGACCTGGCCGTAAATGTGGTGAGCATTCAGAGCACAAAATGTGTCATCCCGTTGGTCACCTTGTGTTGTCCCTACCCCATGGAGCCTGCCCAAGTGGGCACTGTGGTGGAGCGTGACATCTGTGTCTTTCCACAAGCATTTTGTTGGCTCAGTTCTTTCTTGGTGACCAAAATACTATCATAGCAACATGTCTTCCTAAAAAACAAATCAAAAAAAGTTCTAATTTCTAATTTGGATATTAGCACAAATCATTTAATACAGAATAGTAAATTTTTTTAAAGATTTATGCACAGAACTGGGGTACAGGCCAGAGGTGCAGAGGCAGTGAGAGGCTTCACCAGAGACAGAGTGGGGAACAGAACAGGCAGATCGATGAAGTACACTGCTGAGGGGAGCAGCGGGCAGGTCAGGAGAGGTCTGACACACCCAGAATAGTAAATTTAACATAACTACTATATATCTGTCATTTCATATACATGACATAGCTTGATTGATTTTTAATTCTTTTAATTAAGTACCATTGTTTTACATCCTTGTTAACACACGGACCTTGCATTTCAAAAGAAGTCTGCCTAATGAAAGAAGATAACTACAGCTCATTGTTCATATGTTGCACACAGAAAGTTGATACTTGCTGAAGGTCCACTTTGGTTGAATAACTCAGGAAGAGGAAGTTATCTGATGGTTTCACTCCTCTGTGGACTATGACAGAAATATATACAGAGGCAAAATGCAACAGGAGTAAATCTTGGACTTTGTGAAGGAATTTATTGGTTACCAGAGGGAACGTGGAGAGGGAGACATAAGAGGTGTTAGCACCAGTAGTTTGATGGAGGGTGAGTGGAACACGTGCACCTATGGGAAAGCAAAACTGGAACCCCCCAAATTTAAAAAAAAAACTTAGATGCATTGATCTAACAAAACCCTTCTATTTTGTCAAGTAAAACACTTCAGCTGCATTTTGCAGGGTGATGTCAGTGCATTACGAGATGCATCTAAGGTGAAACAAGGCATCAACAGAAACAAAGAAGGGGCAACAGGAAGCAGCCGTGTCTGTGTGAAACTCCAGAGCTGGGTTAATCTCATAATAGCATATCACATCCAACACTGCGGTCAGGTCCCCGAGCATCTGGGGGAGCAGTGTTGGGAAAGGAGAACTCAGGAGACAGATTGAGGGAGCCTGTTTACTCAGTCGGTGTTTTTTTCTGTGTCACAGCTTTCAAGTTGCTTAAGTGTTTTCCAGAAGGGCTCAAAATCACAGTGAGCTCCCAGAGCTGGAACTCCAGAGGAATCCTTGGCTTACATCACAATGAAATTGAATGTGTTGGCCATTTACCCTGATCAAAAAGAACACAGTGAGCTCAGTCTCCCTGGCAGGAAAGTTGAGCCACAGTTGGCGAGTTAGAACCGGCGAGGCCCCGGCCTGCTGCCATCCCCCAGGGAGCCAGCCTGCTCTGCGCCTCCTTCAGCCCTCTCATCCTCACTAGAAATGGCTCCTTTCATTCTTTTCTGCTATAAAAGTGTAACCTGAGTTTTCCACACTGATTTTCTTCCCTATCTCAGTCCTCCATTTGAAAAACCAAAAATAAACTTTCCAACAGGCATACAATTTTTTGTAGGAAATACCAGGGATAATTTGGGTTTTGACATAATTCTGGAAGATTGCTGATTTAGTGTCCTTCTTTAGGGATTGTCCTATAAAATTTTATAATTTCCCAGTAACATCAGTTAAAGAGACAGAGTGGTGACAGCAGAAACCTTTCTAGTTAACTGCTACTTCCCTTGCACTGAGGTGCGTTTTAAATATCCAGTACAATGTGGGGTTCACATTCAGTAGCTGCCTCTGAATTGGGCTTAGCCAATTAACACCCAGAACCTTCTTGTTATCTTTCACACAGACATTGGAATAACCTGTCTACTTATCGTCTACTTATCTTGAGTTTCCCTGGGAAAAAAGACATATTTTTATTACATATATTAATTTAAATCTGGGGGCTCCTGCCCACTGTCAAGGTCTCAGCTAGGTCTGTGCAGCCAGGGATGCAGGTTTGACTCAGTGGACCTGGAAGCTGCTGTTGGCACCACTCAGGGACTGGCCGGTGACAGCCACCTGCTTCCAGGCTCTTCCTTCTGCATTCTTCTCTCTGTGCCTGGGCCAGCGTCCTTCCACCCTATGCGCCCTCCCGCTGGTTCTTCCTGCTCTCTTGCAGTTACTCTCCCTGCTCTTCTCATGGGCCCTTCAAAAAACTCAAGTGAAAGAACTTGCATTTCCCACAATGTAAATTTAACATGGTGACAGGGAAATACATGTTGCACCATCTTGCTGCTTTCGGTTCATTCTGTTCTATCAAGGGAATTTTCTGTAACTGCACATACTGTTCCAACCTGTGAGGTTTCTCAGCCGATAAAGACTAAGGAGGGAAACAACTTTTAAAATGATTAGAATTAAACCTTAGATTTTTACTTAGAATGCTCGAGATCATCTAACTCGGGATTTCTGATACTTACATGGTTATAAAAATTACCTGGAATTCCTTCACTAATTATTAGAAAATCTGGGTTTGACTCAGCCCTACTGAATCATGAACTCAAGGAAGAGTCCTCGGAAGTTTGTTGTTGTTGTTACTGTTTTTTAAACAAACTGTCCAGGTAATTATTAGGATCGGGCATTTTGGGGAACTCTGATATAATTACCACCCCTTACAACTGAGGAAACTGAGTCAGATAAATAATCAGTTGCCTGAGTTACCCAGCAGGAAATGACTAATGGTATGATGTTGGTCACTTATATACAATTTTCCTGTGTCTTCATATAAGTGAGACATTAGTACTTGTTCCTTGATGATGAATAATAGATAGTACTGCTTTAAACTGTGAAGCACTACATGAATGGAAGTACTTATTAAATGACTAAACCAGGATACCAGCTCCATAGGTGAGGCTATGCCCTAATGGTTCTTCAATGCTCTCTTGAAGTAACTTTTTAAATATTTGTCTATTTATGCATACAAGAACTGGGGTCCAATCCAGAGGTGAGAGGATTCACCAGGGACAGAGTGAGGAGCAGAACAGGTAGATCTAGTGAAAGACACTGCCCAGGGGAGCAGCATACCTGACAGGAGATGTATGCCATGCTATCTGGGTCAGCTCCCTGGCTGGAGATCAAACTCATGGCCACAGACTACTTCATAGTGCTGCCCTTTAACCCCTTTCCACTAGGGAGGCCCTGAAGTATTTTGAACTTTTCAAACTAGAAATTGCCTGTTGATTTTGAGGGATATGAAAGATTTCTTCTGGTAATTTATGGTTTGGTTTAAAAGAACAAGCTTTAGGCCCTCCCAGTTGGCGCAGTGGGTTGGAGCACAGCACTGCAAAGCTGGCCATTGCCACTACAGTACAAGTTTGATCCCTGCCCCAGAGGTGATCCATATGGCGTGGCAGACTTCCCTGACCTGCCCACTGCTCCCCTCAGCAGTGTACTTCGTGAATCTGCCCTTTCTGCTCCCCACTCTGTCTCTGGTGAATCCTCTCACTGCCCCAGCACCTCTGGCCTGTACCCCAGCTCTGTATGCATAAATAAATAAGAATCTTTTTTAAAAAACTGTATTTGTTTATAAATAAATAAAAGCAAAAATTTTAAAGTATGGAGGTTTTATAAAACATTCAAAATAGATCTACTGGGCCCTCCCTGGTGGCACCACAGGTTAGGACACAGCACTGTAAGCTAGTCACACCCACTTCAGTGCGAGTTCCATCCCCGGCCCAGGAGGTGATCCACATGGCACAGCAGACCTCTGCTGTCTTGTCTGATGCTCCCCTCAGCAGTGTACTTCATTGATCTGCCTATTCTGCTCCCCACTTTGTCTCTGGTGAATCCTCTCACCCCCTGCACCTCTGGCCTGCACCCCAGTTCTGTATGCATAAATAAATCCTTTGAATAAAAGTAATTCAAAGGGATATATACACCACTGTGTTAATTGCAGCCCTATTTACAATAGTCCAGTTATGAAAACAACCTAAGTGCCAGGTGGTAAATGAGTGGACAAAGAAGATACAATGGAATATAACTGAGCTGTCAAAAATGAGATCTTGATATTTGCAGAAATGCAGATCAAACTGAAGAGAATTGTGCTAAGTGAAGTAAGTCAGAAGGAGAAAGACAAACACTGAATGATTTCATTTGTATGGAATATGAAAAGCAAAGCAAAAGGAAGAGAAAAAAGCAAAACAAACTCGGATCAAGGGGCAAAAAAAGAAAATATAATAAAGTAAAAATAAAAACAATGAGCAACTATATACCAGAGACATTTTACAGGGGTGGAGAAAAGAAGAGGATCAGAACTGGAGCGGGAAGAGCACACAGGACTATGATGAGGGCACATGGGTGACCAGGTGGTGGGACGTCCACGGGGATTACAACTGAGATGAAAGAATATGCAAAATGAACCATGATGTAAAATCAATCAATAAATTTAACAATTAAAAAAATAATAAAACAAACACAAAAACAATCAAACTCTTGAAATGTGACTGAGGAACTTGTACTACCAGAGAAGAGAGTGAGGAACTCCCAGGGGAAGTGGATAGTGGTCTGTTGGTGAGGAATTATCGGACAGCAAGCTGTTGTGATCACTTTATTTAATAGTTGAGGTGTCCTGATGGACCCAGTAAATATTTTGTAACTTCTGAGCAGAGCTGAGACTTAAAACAGTTATTTCTATTTAGGTGTGAAATTGAAGCGACACTTGAGAGGCTGAAGAAACTAGAACGTGATCTCAGCTTTAAAGAGCAGGAGCTCAAAGAACGAGAAAGACGCCTGAAGATGTGGGAGCAGAAGCTGACAGAGCAGTCCAACACCCCGGTGAGTGTTCCCCAGGTAGTCAGCTCACCCACCATCCCCAGAGCCCTGGCTTAGCATGGAGCATGGCAATCCTCCCGCCTTCCCCCCCCCCACCACCTCCTACTTCTTGCCTCACGCCTGTGTATTAAAGGCCTGCATTTGTACCTAAGTAGTGCTCACGACTAATTTCAATTAACACATTGCCAGAAATTTAGAAGAGCTTACCTTACTTCTGGCTCTTTCCCTAAGAACTTTGACTCTGTCAGTGTGTTTGGATATTAGAATTACAAAAATAAAATCTACTGTATTTTCATACCATCTGTTAGGTTCCAGCACATATGCCTAATGCTAATTAAATCAGTAATTATTCAGTAAACACCAAGGCAGCTAGTCTGAAAGTCTTTGAGGCATCAGAACTTTACCAAGATTTCCTTGTAAAATAGAGCTATCATATAAATTAAAGTGACATATTGATGATAAGTAATAATATATCTTACCCAATTTAGTGTTATGATTCTGGACCCCCCAAAAAAAAATTAGGAAAAAGACTCAGGACAAGTTTCCAGTATTTACTACACCTAGGAATTATCTTAATATTTCCCAGGTCTTGCAGTTAGAGACATATTGAACTTCTGTTTAATGATTTTGTTATTTAAATACTAAACTTTGAGCTTACATTGCTGATATGCTATACTAAAGTCTAATAAAATTTCAGCATTCTTCCCCTATTTTAAATGATTCATCCTTTGGATAATTAAGTATCAATTTATCATTGGTTTTCCCAAGCTTTCTATACTTTTCCATTTTAAAATCACTAATAATTGTAAGTTAAAATAAACTTGTAGATTTAAAATTCATAGTCTTCACTTTGTGATCTTCAAAACCTTTTCTGTTTTTAAAAGACTTTATTTCCATTAAGCAATCAATGTCTAGTGACAAAATGTTTTCCAATAGCTACAGAATAAAATAGATTGCATCCATTGACAACGATGTGGATAAGCAACCTGATATCCAAAACAGGGAAACACAAGATATAAATTTTACAAAAATGACCTGTTAGCCAGGGAGTCCCAGAGTAAGAGCTGAATTGCTACGTATGAGGGACCACAGTTGATCAGTTTAGCGAATGCAACTTGGCTGTCAAGAAAGAAGTCAAGGGAAGTTTCTTTTCTGGTTGAATTGATAACCACAGACAGACACAGCAGCATCACCCTAAGGATGTACACTCTCAGAGCTGATGAGAGACAGAAAATACAGCCCTGTTCCTAGAACAGGTCTTCTGAAGTCTCAGGGTTGGAGTTTATTTTTTGGAGTACATTGAAATCTTAAGCTATAAAGCACTACATGACTTGACTCTTTCTAACGGTAGCGTTATTTAAAAAAATAAACCCTAAACTTCCTATTAAAGTATGCTTTCGAGCCGTTCTCTGGTTTACTGGCATTAGTTTTGCTAAGAAATTATGGGCTGCCTTGTTGCCATTAGTATTGTAGTTGTGTAGTAAATAATGAAGCACTGTGAGAGCTGGGTAGGTTGTGTGCTTGCGTTTTAACTACAGAGAACTTTCTGCGAAGGAGCGGAAGGAGCTGCTCTGAGGGCTTCGCCTAACAATGGACAGCCCACCGCGTGGGGATTGTCAGTCTGCCTTTTTCTCCTAATCAGGGCAGAGTTTTCTTTACTGACAGTTCTTGCTGTTATGTCTCTTCTGCTTAGTGCTAGTATTTCTGAAGGAAAGAAAGTTTGCGCTCAGGTATTTTATAAGTAGCTGTTTTCTTTCATCCTCACATCAGTTTCTAGTTGGCTGTAAATGAGATTTCTTAGAGAGTGATAAAAATAAACCTTCTGAAGAGGAGGTGGCTGGAGGTTTACAGTGACAGTGTGTAGCTTCATTTTAATTATGAAAGTTTAATATGTACATAACTTCATTAGAATATTGTAGGATTTATTTCAAGGACATGATTTGCTTTCCTGAAGTTAAAACAACAATTAAAGATGCCTGGGCAGGTGAATTCTTGTACCTATTTGTGGACAGTTATCTTTTTTAATTATTGTAGTAGTGTGATAGAACTATTGTTTCTTTAATGAATAAGTTCGAGAGAGAGACATTCATTGCGATCTTTAGAGTATAATGCATGTGAGGAAGCACCTATTATTTAATTTGATTTAAAAAAAAAAAAGGCAGTAAAGAGTTCTTGAGCTCACCTAAAAATGGAGAATAAATTTGAGAAGCTGGGACATTTGCACGTAGAATAACATCCAGTTTCCAATGTTAAATAATCAAGAGTAGTTTTTTTCTTCTTCTGTATAATGGTAATTTTTACCTGGATTACATGAAATTCTTATTGAACCAGCAACTCTAGAGGTTTTTTTCTGATGAAATGAGATATTTTACTTTTTTTTTAGACTCAGCTTAAATTTCAATTTTAAAATGAGGAAATTGGCCCTAAAAGTACCTTTAATTCCCCGAATGTAAAGGTTATCACAGTATATCATTTGTACATTGTTAATCATAAATTTACTTACATATAAACAGCACTGAAGATATGAGCCCTAATTTATTTATATCTCAGTAGAGGCAGCAGTACTTTTCTGATTCTACTACTTTTACCCCTGAAATGAACGTGACCAACATTTATGGAAATAGGCAGGCTATTCAAAATAATTGCATAAGGTAGAAGAGAAATACCCACCTGGAGGAGGAGAATCCCTTGGACAACATTTTGGCACATAAAGAAACATACACAATAGAGAACAGAGGTAGCAATTTAAGCTAATTCTCCTGCCCTTTCTCCCAGTTTTCCTATGTATTTACATACTTGTTTATAACTTAAATGTTAGACATTGAATCTGAAATTTATCCCCAAGTGAAACGTTTTATAACCTGAGTAATAGTGTTGTATCCTATTTGGCTATAATAAGTAATGGGCAAAAACAAGTGAATTCTATACTCATTTTTAAGTTATAGCCAAATACTAATCTAGCAGAAAAGGTAGTTATGACTCAGATTCCCCTAGATCTGCATGGGCTGGAACTGTTTACATGCTTCCTCTAATCTTTCCTTGTTTGATATGGTTTATTGATTTTGACTTGCAATTTAATCTCTACTTAATTTCTTTTTTAATATAATGCTTAACTAAAAGTTTCTGTGTGATAGTCAAATTGGGAAAAATTAAGAGAAATCCTAGAAATTGTTTTGTTTTAAGCCAAATGAAGGCTTAAAACTTGCAACTTTCTTTCCATTTGAAATTGGGCTTGCTGTGTGCTTTGCAGACTTTGGGTTGTGATTTACTCTGTCATTGCCAAATTAAGACGAATGCGCTGGAGCCAAAAGTGGTATTCAATGGGTTCTCACGTAATTCCCTGCATTCATTTATTTTACTAATCACTTACCTCTGCGCAGTAGCCACTGATTTTGTGGTATCTGTTTTCTTTATTGAAATTGGTTCTAATTTCTCTTTTTACTTCTGTCCTTTCTTCCCTGTGATAGCTTCTCTTGCCTCTTGCTGCAAGAATGTCTGAGGAGTCTTACTTTGAATCTAAGACAGAGGAGTCAAACAGTGCAGAGATGTCTTGTCAGATCACAGCAGCAAGTAACGGGGAGGGCCATGGCATGAACCCCAGTCTGCAGGCCATGATGCTGATGGGCTTTGGGGATATCTTCTCAATGAACAAAGCAGGAGCTGTGCTGCATTCTGGGATGCAGATAAACATGCAAGCCAAGCAGAATTCCTCCAAAACCACATCTAAGAGGCGGGGGAAGAAGGTGAACATGGCCCTGGGGTTCAGTGATTTTGACTTGTCAGAAGGTGATGATGATGACGGGGATGAGGAGGATAATGACATGGATAATAATAGTGAATGAAAGCAGAAGGCACAGTCATGAAGTTCACTGTTTGGAAAACAAAAGAAACTTGTTATCTCAGTCAACAAAATCCAGTAAGGAGTTAGAAGAAAACCAAGCACTGCATTTTTAGGCCAATCATTTACATGATAGTCATTTTTCTATTAGTTTTCCATTTGATTTGTTTTTGCTTACATAAAAATAGGGGGAAAATTAAGCCAAAAAGGTGTATTTCATGAATCAGCAAATGTGGTGCCTGATTATAGAAATGTGTGATTCTATTATATGCAATATTAGTATTTTTTTAGTTATTGACATTCTGTTTTTTTTAAAGAATGAATATATTATAGTTTTTTATTTGATTTGGTTTGGTTTATTCAGTTGTTTAACAAAACTTACATTTTGAACAAGCACTCTTAATGCTAATTCTTCTTTGACTCTTGATGTTCTCATAACATATGACTTTTTTTCCCTTGTAATAATACATTGTACTGTCAGAAATAATTGATAGCAACTACAAAATCCAACAATAAAAAACTGCAGATGAAAGAAGTTTATAACAATACTTCTTCAGAAATACCTAAATGCTATGAATTTTCAATACCTAACAGCTACTCAAAGCCATACCTGAGAGATCTTCTCAGTAGTACATGTGAGGGAGAAATACCTAATTTGAAACCAACAGCACATGTTTGCAGGCTTTCTTTCCAGTGCCAGCTATGGAATCTTCTTAACTACAACACACTATCATAGAAGGCTTAGCTTATACTTCATACAAAAAGAACGAGGTAGTCTTATGAGATACTTCTAGAAAGTGCAAGTGTGGATACAGGGTGGTCTGAGCTTTCAGGAAGATGGTGTGTGTGTGTGTGTGTGTGTGTGTGTGTCATTCTATTTGTGTTTTCCAGAGTTTATCTAATAATTCTGGGTCCTAAATAGATATATAGGTATGTTATAGCAGGAATGAAGTATTATAAAAGGAATAGCAAAAATCAGGTATCCTCCCTTTGGCAAAAGGACACACTGAAGACTCCTGTTTATATCAAATCTAGCCTTTCAGAGTTGTGTTTTCTGAACCTTGATTCTGCCAGGGCTGGTGTTGACGAGAATAGATATAGACACAGCTCTGCAGTCCTGGCTAGCCAGAGAGATAACACTCAGAATGTGATCACATGTCTGTCA